GTTAAAACAGCCATTCTTCTCCACACTATCGGCGAGGAGGCGCTTGAAGTGTACAAAACATTCACTGTAACCCCGGCCGGAGACGCGCTAGCAATGGAGGACATTCTGAAAGCGTTTAAGGACTACTGTAGTCCACAAAAGAACGTTGTTTTTGAGCACCATCAGTTCTGGTCATACCCAATGTCAACAGGTGTAACAGTGGACAGATATATCACAGAACTCTGTCAGAAAAGTAAAAGTTGTGAGTTTGGAGTTAATGAGGACGACATGATCAGGGACAAATTGGTGTTCAGCATAAATGACACAAGACTAAAAGAGAGATTACTTCGTAACAACGACCTCACACTGCGCAAAACGATAGAAATATGCAGATCAGCAGAAGTGGCCAAGTCACAGATTCAGGCTATGCAGTCAACAACTGCAGCCCAAGATACGTCAGTGGACGCATGAAGAAAAATAACAGGACACATTAAATCACGACACAGTAAAAACAAAACGAGCAACAACAAGCAAATGGTTTGTTTCAAATGCAGCAACAAACACGCGCTCCGACAGTGTCCAGCCTATGGGGCAACATGCCACAAGTGTGGGAAAAATAACCACTTCTCAAAAGTATGCAGAGCAGGTGCAGAGAAAAGTAGAAACTACAAGAAAACAAAAACTATCAATAACATTGAGACTGATGGGGATTCACTGTACATTGGCATGGTGTGCAGTGACAAACACAAAACTGAAAGTTGGCATGAAAGTGTAACAATCGGAGACGTATCAGTCACCTTCAAGCTTGACACAGGTGCGGACGCAAATGTGCTCCCCAGATCAGTTTACAACAAGTTACCAGGGATGCCTCGGTTACAGCCCACAAAGACTGTACTCATAGCTTTTGGTGGAGCCCGCATACGTGCAGATGGTGTGGTGTCTCTTGAGTGTGAAGCACGGAAGCACAAGGCTGTGTTTGACTTTCTTGTATCAGGCCATGCAGATAAACCAATCCTAAGTGGACAAGCTTGTGAAGAGCTGCATCTGGTGAAACGAGTTGAGACCCTTCCCATAACATCCACTAAAACGAAACTAGCCAAACCACCTTCTACCAGAGAAGAGCTTGTGGAGATGTATGCTGATGTGTTCACAGGCTTAGGTGAGTTCCCTGGAGTTCACCACATACACACTGACCCAAACGTAACACCTGTGATTCATGCATGCAGGAACGTGCCTCTCTCCATAATGGACCCGCTGAAGAAGACGCTACAGGACTTACAAAACAGAGATGTCATAACACCTGTCAATGAGCCTACAGATTGGGTCAACAGTCTTGTCGCCACACAGAAGAAGAACGGAACACTAAGGGTGTGTTTGGACCCTTGTGATCTGAACCAAGCAGTTAAACGCCAGCACTACTCCATTCCCACACACGAGGACGTTCGCAGCAAGCTAGCAGGAAAATCCATCTTCACCATATTGGATGAAAAAGATGGATACTGGCAGATCAAGCTGGACGAGCCGTCATCAAAGCTCTGTACCTTCAATACACCTTGGGGCCGATATCGCTTCCTCCGACTCCCATTCGGGATCAAATCAGCCAGCGAGGTCTTTCAACAAAAGAATTGTGAGACTTTCGGCAACATTCCTGGTGTATTTATCATTGCAGATGATATGATAATTGCAGCTACATCAGAGCACGAACACGATGAAATCCTGCAGAAGGTCATGGAGAAAGCAAGAGCAGCTAACGTGAAGTTTAACAAGGACAAAATTCAGTTCAAAGTTGACACAGTGAAATACATGGGCCATATCATCACAGCAGCAGGGCAGAAAGCAGATGTTTCAAAGATCAAAGCTATTGTCGACATGCCGACTCCAGAAGACAAACAAAGCCTTCAGCGTCTGCTGGGAATGACGAAGTTTTTGGCACAGTACATCCAAAATGAAGCATCGCTCACAGCACCTTTGAGACAGCTACTCAAGAAGGACACAGTGTGGCAGTGGCAGCCACATCACACAGTAGCGTTACAGACGCTCAAGTCGACGCTCACACAAGCGCCAGTGTTGAGATTTTATGACCACAAGAAACCACTAACACTGCAGGCCGATTCTTCAAAAGATGGGCTGGGCGCATGCCTATTACAAGAAGGGCAACCTGTGTGTTACGCGTCACGAGCACTCACAGACACAGAAAAAAGGTATGCACAAATAGAAAAAGAGTTGCTAGCCATTGTGTTTGCCGCTAAACGATTCCACCAGTATGTCTATGGAAGACCAGTGACAGTGCAATCTGATCATAAACCCCTGGAGGCGATAGTGCGCAAACCGCTAAGCAAGGCACCAGCAAGGCTACAAGGAATGCTGCTGCAACTACAGAGATATGATCTCACCATCACGTACACCCCCGGCAAAGACATGTTCATAGCCGACGCACTCTCACGTGCCACAACTACCAGTGACGACGGAAACGTGAGTGAAAACGCAAATGATGAAAGAGTTGTGTATGCTCTGGAGGCCACAGCAGCATTGAGCGAGAAAACACTGTGTGACCTGAAAAAAGCAGTGGCAGCAGACAGCGTACTACAAGCCGTGCGCGAAAGACACTTCAACGGATGGCCGCCCAGAAGGAAGAGTTTAGACAAAACACTCCACAGCTACTGGCCTATGAGACACGATATCAGTTTCCACGATGACATTATTATGATCGGGGACAAGATCGTAATACCCCAAAGCTTCAGGCGTGTGATCCTGGAGAAGCTGCACCTTGCCCACCAAGGCGTGCAGCGCACAAAAGCCAAAGCAAGAAGAGTGCTGTACTGGCCTGGCATGTCACGCGACATAGAGACTATGCTTGAAAAGTGTGAACAATGCCAGCAAATGCAGCCAAAGAACCAGGCTGAGCCGCTTATTCCACATCAGATTCCAGAGCTGCCATGGATGAAAATCGGAGCAGACATCTTCGAACTGAACGGTCAGCCATATCTTTTGTTAGTTGACTATTTATCAAAATATCCAGAAGTTCTTAACTTACCTGACAAAACGGCACACTCTGTGATTCAGAAGATGAAATCAGTCTTCGCAAGACACGGAATTCCCAAAGAGATAGTGAGCGATCATGTTCCATTCGCCAGCCACGAGATGAGATCGTTTGCAGCATCCTGGGAGATAAAGCTAACTTTCTCCAGTCCCGGCTTTCCTTCTTCGAATGGCATGGCGGAGCGAGCCATAAAGACTGTCAAACATGCACTTAAGAAAGCCGCACGGACTGGAACAGACCCACATCTAGTGCTGTTGTCTTTGAGGAACACTCCAGTCACAGGACTTAGTGTGTCACCTGCACAAATGTTGATGGGACGGGTTCTCCGCAGCACCCTGCCATGCACCAGTGCTGTGTTGAGGCAGTCAACCCCACAGAACATTCACGACAAAGTGCGCAGGTTGCAATCAAAGCGGAAACGCCACTATGATCAGCACGCAAGACCATTGCCTGTTCTGACCCCAGGCGAGACTGTGCACATGCAAACAAGGCGCGGTTGGGAGCCAGCTGTTGTAACTCATCGGCGAGAGGAACCACGCTCCTACACTGTGCAAACACCAGATAGTAAAGTGCTCAGGAGGAACAGGAGACATCTGAGGAAAATACACCCAAGTCTGTTCAAGGACACACCCATGGACCCAGATGAACTGTCCGTTCACACCCAAGAGCCAGTGGAGCCACCAGCAAATGACACCCCACAAAACTCTAGTCCTGCAAGTATGGACAACACACCCACATGTTACACACGCAGTGGCCGAGCAATAATACGCCCTGCCAGGTATAGAGACTAAGTGATTGGGAAACTTAAAGTCACTCTGTCCTGTACCTGAGTTGTTCTGTACAAGCTAGATAACTGTCTTGTTGGAAAAGAGAGAAAATATGTCATGTTTCATATATTCATTTTGACATGTCTTATCGAATCTGTCATGTGTTCATCTGTTTCAAAACACTACACTGATGTTATTT